ATGTGAGCTCTCCTACAGCGCGGGAAAGGATTGTGATGCTCCTGGGTCTTACTGTTTTTCTGCAGGCGGCAAATACTAGCAAAACCTCATGGTAAATTGAGAGTCATGTCCTTTTTCTCTAGTAGTCCATACTAAAGGTGGCAGCCAGCTGTTGCTGCCAGCTAGTAAGCTAGTTCAGCAGCTGAGGCTTTTTAGTAGATAGGAAGGTTCCAGGCTTGCTGATGTCTCATTGAAGTGTAAACACAAATCCACATGAAATTACATAAAATACATATAACAGCATTCAGATTGTGAAATCAATCACTACAGGGGCAGGAAATGTCAAAATCAGGGTTCTCCTGGCAAACTTACGTTGGCTGCATGGGCTATATATTGTATTGTCTCTGCTGGATTTGCCCCTCTTTCCCCTTCCCAGTTATTATCTTTTCAAGGTAGATAAAGGACCTGCTTCCTGCTTTAGGGACGAATCAGGGCTGTACAGTGATGAGGCTGTCAATAAATTCCTTCCCTGATTTGTACCAGAAGTTTGAAGACATATGGACAACGGGACCGAGGGCTGTGGAAGAGAACAGAGGTATTCTGAAGGGAGCTCATACTGCCCTGAAAATTGTCTCTGCCAGTGCATTCCTCAAGTTTTAAGAAGTCTACTAATCATATGTTCCTGGTTTTCTGGGTACTCAGATTGAGAACCAGCGGCCCCATTTTCTCTGCAAGAGAAGTCAAAATTAGCTGTACTTTGAATATAAAAGACTACATAATGCTTAGTGCTCTGAAAGATCAGTGCTTCACACCAAACACCTATACTTAGTGAAGTTTTCAGTGCTTGCAGGTATTATCAGACGTTTATATACCTCACCTCAGAGGCATTCATCAGATACTGCACTGATGAGTACCACAGGAAAAAAAACCACACAAACCTTTGAAAAAATCAGTCATTCTGGATTCAGAGCTGAGTTTGCATAGACCTAACAGTAGATAAGGCACAAGTCTGCACATTAAAAGGCAAGGATTAAATGAAAGACTGGAAAACATCTTGTTCTGTGGGTGCTGTTTATCCTGTGCAGTGATTGAGGCAGGGGTCTAGTGGTAAAGTAGTATCCAGTCATGAAATTAAAGAATTTGACTTAATGCACATATATGCAATTTCCAAGGAAACATATCATGATCTTCACAAATTCTTCACTATGAGGATTGTGAGGCACTGGCATAGGTTCCTCAGAGAAGCTGTGGCTGCCCCATCCCTGGCAGTGTTCAAGGCCAGGTTGGACAGGCCTTTGAGCAAACTGCCTAGTGGAAGGAAGGTGCCCCTGCTCCTGTCAGGGGGGTTGGAAGTAGATGGTCTTTAAAAGTCCCTTCCAACTCAAACTATTCTGTGATTCTATGATCTTGAATACTTCATTCTTCAATGCAAGATTCTGTATTGTTTGAATCTGGGTATAATTAATGGTTCATGAGGAAGGAAAATACAGATATATATGAGGAGCATGAAGATGTACATTTTTCCTTCTTACTGAGCAAGTGAAAGGACTAATTTATATGGATTCCAGTTTGCATGGTGAAGTCTCTGAAGAGAAAAAACAAAGAGCAGTGCTCACTGCAACACCACCACACCTCAGTTTTGTGGAGGTTTAATACCTGCTAGGGTTCCTTAAGGTAGCTATTAAGAGATTAAGAAAATAGCACAAGTTCTTCAGTAGCTGCTGTAATTTGAGAAGGTGGAAATAAGGAGAAGGTAAGGGAGCAGCATGAAGAAGAGAGAGCTCCTCTCCATGTGGAGGGCTGCTACTCCATGGAATGAACTGGAACTTTCTGCCTGGCAATCTGCACAGTTCTTCCTTTCTGGATCCTCTGTACATACTTCCTAAAGACATCTGAGTTTAGTGTCCTGCCCCGAGGCCTCCTGCCTCTGAACTTTTCCAAAGATAGAGCTTTGCATGTGTTATTTTGGGGTTTTACCTGTTGCTTTAGCCACGATGATCTAAGGAGTTAGGCAAGAAATTGTTTACAAATAAGGGTAATGTATTTTATTAGATCACGCAATGCAGTTAGAAAAATGAGGCAACTTTTAAGTACTGAAAAAGCTACTGAATTGACTGATATACAGGCTTTGGAGTCAGAAGTGTGGTATTCTGACCCCATCTTCATTGTTCTTTGTGTATATTCATGATGGGTTATAGTAAATTTCTGAAACTATAAAAACATTAGTTGATGGGATAGACACATTTAAAATGAAGACAGGTATATAAAATGGGGCCATTGTGCTGCTCTGGCATATAAGTTTATAGTTCTTGGAGCAGAACAGAAATGGGCCATAGCATTCCTGAAGATCTCCCGTCTTCCATAAAGACATCGATGCATTTCACTATGCTGCTATGAGAAATATGTGACCTTCTGCAAGCCAGCCTTTGCTTAACACAATGAGCAACATGCACCCTGGAGCATCAGCCCTTCTGTGAGTTTCTTCAAAACTTCCTGTGTTTTAGTTTAGTTTGCACAGATAGGAGATCCACAAAGACCTTCCTTCTCAAAGCTCTTCCAGTGCAGAAGTGCAGACCTTCTTTTTGTAAAATCTGCTTTCACTAGAAATTTTTCTTTTGCAAATACCAGCTCATGAATCATCTAATGAGACAATTCAGAGCCTTTCTTTTTATCAGGCAAAAATGCCATGTCAGCATTCAGAAGAGCAAAGCATCTACTTTGTGTCTCACACTGTCTGTCAAGCAAATTTCATTGAGACATCCAAAATATTTTACTAATATTTTACTTGATGAAGATAGGGGGAGTTAAAAATTAAGCCACACATTTTTGTATTATTATGTTCTCTTTGATTTTCTTTCTATTCTTTAGAAGTTCGTAGGTGCTATTGTGAGAGATCAGTGAACCTTGAACAGGTGACCTTGTCTTACGAATGATAATGTCCAGAATTGACAAAAATCTGTTTAGCAAATTTCTTCCACTTTATTTTATTTTTCAGTGTACAATAGTGACACAAAGGCTAGTTATTTTGTCTGGGTGCAAAGTGAAGTTGATAGTCAAGATGCAGACTGTGCTGACTGAGCAAACTCTGAAATTAGAGATTATCATTGGCTAGTCTTATTTGCATCTTGGTTTCAGGCTTTAATCCTAAACAAATCTGCCCTTTAGTTCATATCAATGTATGTCAGAGAATCATTTGAATTATAGATAGGTATTTCCTCTGTATTGTCATTCTTGCAAGTGTGTATTTCAGTACAAGGCAGATGGCAGAGATTATTTTATATTCATAATGCATATACCTCTAAGAGAACCATGCTGCAGTGTGCTGATGCTGGCTGTATGGGTTATGTATTCTCAGGAGACCAGCATGTTCAGAATGTATTCTTTTGCCCTTTCCCCTGTCGTCTCTTGTTTTGCTACGATAGAAGCACTAGCAAATGAAAGGCTTGTTATTGATTTCTGTGCAGATGTTCGTAATTTCTGTGTAACTCTGCATTGGGTGGCAATAACTGAGGTACAAAATTTAACATCTTAATTATTCCTTGATGGAAAGGAGGGCCACTAACCTGAGAAACAGCAGCTTATTAACTCTGGATCTGTGGATGCAAAGCAGCCTTAGGTCACAAGTGAAATGAGTGAGGCTGTCTCAGTATAGTCTTTCTGGATGTTTGTTTGCTTCTCAAAGACACCAAATTGCCTTCAGTGTGACTGGAGCAGATGGAAGAAGAAATCCTGAAACAAAAAATGTTTTACTTCCAGTGCTGCTGGAAATTGAAAGTACTAGAAATCTCAAGAGAAGCACAATTTATGAGATTCCCAAGCTTATTGCTAGTTGCGTCAAAATATGAATCCCAAATGCTATTGTTTACTCAGTTAAAAAGAGAGGTTCAAGAATTTTTATGCTTGTCTGTCAGTCCCATCCAGGAGGCATAGCTTCAGTTCCCAGCACTTGCAGCTTTATGCAGAGTTCCCATGAGCTTGAAAGGATAAGTGAACGACCAAGGGCAAACAAGTGCCATTGGTCTTTATCAGATATTGATGAGCGAGCCCCAAAAATCTAATCCCCAGCCACTGAAGGTATTGCTATCATTACAACAGTGAAAGAAATTTCTTTAGCAATAGGTAAATGCCAGGCTGTTGCTGTCTTTGCTTTCAGCCATACGTAACTATCACCCACAACCTTTAATGCAGGAGAAGCTCTCTTCAAAAGGATGACATTTCCCAACTAACCATCCAGTTGTCCTTTACACCTTGTAGCTAAAGCTGTCTTTAAAAATTATATGGTGCATTTTTGACTACAGGATTAGATGATCACCACAGAGTTGTTATATATGCATCATTGTGCTGTTAAAATTCATATTCTTAGTCCAGTCACAGACAGCCCCACAATAAGGCATCAGCATTTCAAAAGTTATCCTTTGCTGAACAATAGAGTAAATGGCAAGAACAGAAAATTTCATTTCTGCCTCAGTAGAAGAAAAGATCTAATATGAAAGAACAACTGTGTGAAGTTTTAAGGCTTGATTGTTTTGTATTTCACTGGCATGACTGGCAGAATTAATTTCAGTGATTTAACTATTATTATTATTGAGTTACCCAGTGCCTTAGAAGGCAAGAAAAAATTTGGGTTCTCTAATCTAATTCATTATCTTCTGATCCTCCAGAGCTGGGCCAAAATTTGCTTGTACACTGTGCACTGGAAAAGGGCAGCAGTTTGACGTTTGCTGCAGTGGCTCCTTCACAGTTAGACTCCAACACTGGTCTGCATTTCTGTATTGGCATTGGTAACAGTACAGAAGGACTGAGGCCAGAAGAAGACAGAAAGGGGGAACTGGGAACAGGAAAGGTGTTTAAATTGTGGTCCAGGGTCTTTCATCATGCTCAGCTGCAGAAATAACAGAGTGCAAATCTAAGGAAGAATACTAATTAGGATCCATTAAAAATAAAAAAAAAATCTTGCTAAGACAGCATCATGGTGGTCAAAGTGAAACACTAATGTAACCTTAATTAATTTTATTTTACAGAGACAGCAAGCTCACCATGTTGCTTCGGGAATCCTTGGGGAACATGAACTGCCGCACCACAATGATAGCTCACATTTCAGCTGCCGCAGGGAACTACGCTGAGACACTGTCCACCATCCAGATTGCATCAAGGGTCCTCAGGATGAAGAAAAAGAAAACTAAGGTAAGACAGTGTATAACTCCCTTCTTGTAATGGCGGAGGAGGGAGGAAGAAGGACCCTGAATGATCCTTAACAGAGCAGAGTGTAACAAAATCAGTAATCGATTCGAAAGTGTGTGGGTTGTATGTACCTTATCCTAAACAAGTGGCTTAGAGCACATAGCAGAGACTAGGAGGGGGAAGTGCTTCAGCTTCAGATAGAAAGGAGTGTGTTCAGACATCTGCTATAGCAGGTTTGTAAGCTGGCCTCATTTAATGGTATAGCTGTCAGAGAGCATTTGTTATCAGTTATGCTTTTAGTGCTAATGAAATAATAAGGAATGACACTGCTGTAGAGTTAAAGAAAATTGGGATTAATTAAGAATTAGATTCTCTGTGCTTTTCAGAGAGAGCAGGAACAAAATAAATGCAAAGCATTGTGTCCATTGCCAGTACTGATAATCCTTTTATTCCCACTGCTTCTAAATATGGATGATAGATTTTTCAGGAATTAGAGTAAGGATGGGCTGTATCCACTTTCATGTTTTAGAGTTCTGGTTCCTTCTGTACAGTTTAAGGTGTGAATTTGTCACACCAAGTGCCTATGGATTGAAAAAACCTTTTGGTCACTGTTTTGAAGAGAGACAAGTGAAGGGATTCAGTCCACACACCATCACAGCAGTTTCCAGAGACCTCTGAGCACATGTTATACAATTCCATACACTGGCAGTATAATCAAATGAGAATTTCCTTTATTTTCTGTGCCTTACATAATGAGTTTTCTTGTTCCTCTTCACATACTACACACACACACACACACACACACACACACACACACACAAAATCAGCAGAGCTTTTGCCAGATATCTGTTTTCTTTGGCTGGGCTCAATTAAGGGAGAGATCCAAATCTATTTGTTCAGTATGGTTTTTTTGGAAGTCTCATAATTTTGAGTGGGACACAGAGTTGGGGCATTGGGTTCTCCACTGAACGCTTTTGTGTGTTTGCAGTAGGGCTATGGATAAAAAGCTTCAGAGTTCTGTGCCTTAGTTTAATTTCCCAGTTTAGATGTGACTGTGACCTTTTTGTGTATGTGCTTTGCGCAAGGAGCTATTTGCCATGCTGAAATGTTGTTGTCTCTCTCTCTCATATTGCAGTACACTTCAAGTTCTTCTGGAGGAGAGAGCTCCTGCGAGGAGGGCAGGATGCGGAGGCCAACCCAGCTGAGGCCTTTCCATTCTAGAAACACCGTTGACCCAGACTTCCCTATTTTGCATTTATCAAGTGATCCTGATTATTCTTCCAGCAGTGAACAGTCATGTGACACAGTGATTTATATTGGCCCCAATGGCACAGCCCTTTCTGATAAGGAATTGACGGATAATGAGGGTCCCCCTGACTTTGTTCCCATAGTTCCTGCTCTGCAAAAGACAAAAAATGAGGGCAGGTTGGAAGAAGTTAGTGAATCAGGGCCCAGCACATCTGAAAGAGACTGCCTGAAGTGCAACACCTTTGCAGAGCTCCAGGAGAGGTTGGATTGCATAGATGGCAGTGAAGAGACCGACAAATTTCCATTTGAAGAGATGCCTGCTCAATTTAGCACAAACCAGATGTCTAAGTGCTCTGTCTCAAGCCAGCTGGCAGAGCTTAGCCATTTACCAGAGTCAGATAAGGAAGATACCATGCCAGAATGTCAGTATCCTGATACAGTAGCCAAGGAAAATACAAATTCAACACCTAGCAAAACGAAGAGAAATCACTCCCCTGTTCCTTCTGGAGCTCTTACTAATGTTTCAACTCCTTCTTCTCCCAGGAGTGTAACAGGCAGCTCTAGTAAAGAGCTTAGCTCTTGTCAGTTAGCACATAGCACCAGCTTGCGGAGCAGCAGAGAAGGTCTCAACACCTGTGGATTTGTGGAAGGCAAACCTCGACCAATGGGTTCACCCCGGCTTGGCATTGCCAGCCTCTCAAAGACATCTGAGTACAAGCCACCAACTTCTCCTTCCCAGAGGTGCAAGGTCTATACACAGAAAGGAGTTCTGCCCAGCTCCACTCCCTCACCAGCTCCTCTGAGTAAGGATACTGGTATGACGTCTAGTGAATCTTTATTGCAGCCAGAAATCCGGACACCACCTGTAGGCATGAGCCCTCAGATCATGAAGAAGTCAGTGTCCTCCAACAACGGGGATTTTGAAGAGACCATTCTTGATGAAAGTCAGCAGCAAGGCATCTCTCCAGAATCCAAGAAGGAGATTCTGAGCACCACCATGGTGACTGTGCAGCAGCCATTAGAGCTGAATGGCGAGGATGAGCTGGTGTTCACCCTTGTAGAAGAGCTAACCATTAGCGGGGTCCTTGACAATGGGCGCCCAACCAGTATCATCAGTTTTAATAGTGACTGCTCTGTGCAAGCTTTGGCCTCTGGGTCTAGGCCAGTCAGTATTATCAGCAGCATATCAGAAGATCTTGAATGTTACTCCAGTGCAGCACCTGTATCTGAAGTCAGTATCACACAGTTCCTTCCACTTCCAAAGTTGGGCCTGGATGACAAACCCCAAGATGATGGCAGCAGGCGCTCATCCATCAGCTCATGGTTGAGTGAAATGAGCACAGGGAGCGATGGTGAACAGTCGTGCCACAGCTTCATAGCCCAGGCATGCTATGGGCATGGGGAAGCAATGGCAGAACCCCCCGTGTCTGAGTTTGTGAGCACCATACAAAGTGCCAGCATGATTTGTTTAAGTGAGAAACAGAAGCCAGTGACTGACAACATGCTTATACTGTCAGAAATGGGGGAGGAAGCTTTCGGCAAAGTGCCACCCATCAAAGGCTGTAAAATATCAGCTCTAGGGAAAACTACTGTCACAATCAAAAATACTGCAAGCCTTAGCAGCTGTGAAGGCTACATCCCTATGAAGACAAACATTACTGTGTATCCATGTATTGCTGTTAATCCCTTCAAAGCACAAGACACTGATGACGCTGTACCAGCAGTAACTGCAGACCCAAAGGTTGTTCATCCCCATGACGGGAGGGAATCCAGTGCTAAGAAGGATATCAAATTTGAAGATCCTTGGCTGAAGAGAGAAGAAGATGTAAAGAGGGACTGCTCTGGGAGCAGTGAAGGGCCAAGGCCTGACAAGGCCACAGTTTCAGCCAAGGCGGAGAACAACACAAAGCAGTCCTCAGTGGACAGGTTCAGCAGCAGCAGTGGGGACACCTCAATCTCCCCAGGACCTGACAGTCTAAAGAGGATTGTGGATGGATGTGAAGTGGCAGCATCTGGCTCAGCAGCCCAAAGCCCTGTTCATTCCAGTGATGGCTTGAAGAATGGTAGCCTCCCTCGAGGGCTCCTGAAGGCAAGCAAGCTGGAGGAGCCTGACAGTCACCTCCATCCTACTGCCACTGACAGCAGTGGAGGCGGCTCTCCTGCCCTCCCCCAGTTTTCTAAGGCTAGCCTTGACAGGAAAATGGTCTCTCCCAAACACTGTGTTCTCACTCGTCCCAAAGGAACCCCTCCTCTGCCACCAGTCAGAAAGTCAAGCTTGGATCAGAAGAACAGAGCCAGCCCCCAGCACAGCACAGCCAGCAGCACCACAAGCAGTCCCTCCAGCCAGCCCGGGTCCTTCCTGGCTAGCTTTCCTGAGGAGCTGAATGCCAAACAGAAAGGCCCTGGCATCGACAGCAGCTGTGGCAGCAGCAGCAGCAAGCTCTTCAGTGCCAAATTGGAGCAGCTCGCGAGCAGGACCAACTCCCTTGGGAGGTCCACAGGAAGCCACTATGAGTGTTTGTCTCTCGAAAGAGCAGGAAGCCTGTCCTCCATGAGCTCCAAAATGAGCCCTGGCAAAGACAGCACCATGCCTCGCACCGGGAGGAGCCTCAGCCGTAGTGTCATGTCCTCGCCCACCAACTCGGGCCTCTCCCATTTGGCAGGTGCCTCTCCAAAAGCCAGCCAGTCAAAGATCTCTGCTGTCAGCAAGCTCCTGCTGGCAAGCCCTAAGGCCCGCAGCCTATCCACCTCTGCAACCAAAACTCTCAGCTTCTCAACCAAGTCACTGCCTCAGTCTGTAGGGCAGAGTTCCAGTTTGCCTCCAAGTGGGAAGAACATGTCCTGGTCAATGCAGTCCCTCAGCAGAAACCGGGGCTGCAGCCTTGCTTCTAAATTGCCCCTTCGGGCTGTCAATGGGCGGATTTCAGAGCTGCTCCAAGGGAGCGCCAGTGCCAGAGGCTTGCAGCTGCGGGGAAGCCCAGAGGCAGAGGAGCGTGGGGGCCTTCCTGGAGATGAGAAGCCAGCTGTTCACATGCTGCCTTCACCTTACAGCAAGATCACCCCTCCTCGGAAACCTCACCGCTGCAGCAGTGGCCACGGGAGTGACAATAGCAGCGTCCTGAGTGGGGAGCTGCCCCCTGCCATGGGGAAAACAGCCCTCTTCTACCATAGCGGGGGGAGCAGTGGCTATGAGAGCATGATGAGGGACAGTGAGGCGACGGGGAGTGGCTCTTCAGCACAAGACTCCATGAGTGAGAACAGCAGCTCCATGAGTGGCAGGTGCCGAGGTCTCAAGAATCCAAAGAAACGATCAAATGCAGGTAAGCTTGTGGTGGTGTGAAAGACAGATGCAGACCAAAGCAGATAACTAGTATGTGGTGGGGGGGTTAGCTCTAAAGGTGAGCTAATTCAGTACCAGCTGTATCTCTTAGCAAAGAAATGAGGCCAGGGTAAGTGTCCTGGGCTTTGAGTCTCTTCCTTTTGCAACATTCACAAATCCTATGTGGATGAATTGCATTTGCAGTGGAGTCTCTCCCTCACCCATTTCACTTAGGTTTACTTCACATGAACAGGAGAACATTTATCCCTAAAACTGGTTAGTATTGCCACATTCAAGTTGTGTTTCACCAGCACTGTATCAGAGTCTTGCTGAATAGCAGTATCTGTTGTGAGGCCACTTTTGCTCTGTGTGTGCTTCGGATGCCCAAAAGTACAAGATGTTCTGCAACTGACACCACCACAGAATTCCTTCTTCCTGCCTAGAAGATGGAATAAAGTTGTGCCCATGCCCTTGATAAATGTCATCCTGCCTCTGAGACTTTTGTTTTTTAACTTTTGAGTTGAGACTCCTTCTTTTCCTAGTAATTTATTGATAACAAATAATAATAGTATATGGGAACTCCTGCACATCAGCACTTGCAAATCTGAAACTTTTTTAGTGATCATAGAAAGGATCAGAAAGACTTCATCGTTGTCCAGATATAATCCCCAGTAGCTTTCACACTACATCAGGACTTTTAAATTAAATTGCAAGAGCCTCATGGGTCATGCCAAGAGTGTGTGCAGTTGCAACTATTACATCTTCCCACCTGAACAAGTTTCAGAAAATTGTAGAACAGGGATGAGAAGCAGTTATCAGCTAGTGACCTCACCTTTTTCCTGGGTGCTGTTTTCCCAGCCTGAAGTGTGAGGGTTGCCCAAGCTGCATTTCGGGAAAAAAAAAAAAAAGCATGTTGGCATTGGAACTGAAGTGCACAAGTATGTGAAATGTCAGTGACTACTTATCTTATGGTAGTGATGGCTGTCCAAAATGTGTTATTCTCATAATGTTCCTAACTCACCAGCCATTCCACTTGCTGGGATACTCAACTCTGGGATTCATTTGCAGTGAATGAACTGAGTAATGCGTAACTCTCCCTCTCTTTATGTTCTTGACTGTGGTAGTAGGAAGAACATGTGCAGCACAGATGTGAATACAAAAGATACTGCTGTTAAAACAATATCCATAAGTGCATGGCTGGTTGTACCTGTTCGGAGGATGCATCTGAAAGTGATCTTTCTACATGGTACCAGCACAGGCCAAGTGATGACATAGTCTTTCTCAAGTTAACTTTGCATGCTATGAGAAAACCTTTCTCCTATCCCTTCAGTTTACATGGTAATTGATTTTCCTTTTTCTAAGGAGCTATTCCTCTAATAGCTTCTTTCAAATATAAACTCTTAAATGGTAACTTGCAAGAAAACAGATGGATGATTTTTACGTTGTGGAAAAGGAAGACAAAACTGTCCAAAGAGATGGCATTTGTGTGTGTGTACTGACAAATGGATTGTGTCTTGTGAAGAAACTGCCCATATATAATATAGACTTTTTCCACAGGACTTTTAGATGCAAAAATTTATCAAGTTCTGTGAAAACAGGCAGCTGTGCAGATGAGGAACAGAGAGGGAATGGCAATCAAAATTTATCCTTATTAGACACTAGAGAATATCCCACCTTCTCTAGGGGAGATACTTTAAAAGAAGACTCTGAGAAAAGCTTCAGGCAGAGATCCTTTAAACTCCAGAGTTCATCCCAGACAGTAGAAGATGAGGATTTATTTACTCTGATGCTCATAAAACTAGTTTCATTTCACTCTTCTCTGCTTTGATAACACATTGGAGGCTGGACAAGGCTAGAGATATGAAGGAGAAAAACATTGTCCTTGTGTTGTAATGACAGGAGAGCTTCAGATCTGTGTTGTACTTTATACCAGGATTATATTTTGGCTCAAAACTTTGGCTTTTGATAGCCACTGTGCAGGACTGAACATTGTGTCAATGGCCATGAATGGGGATTTATGAAGAGAGGACTGTTTTAGACTCAGATTTCAGGTTGCTTTTGTAGCAGTCTGGAAGACACACCTGGAGAGAAGGGGCTTTTCCATGGTCTTGCCAGCCTTCAGCTTACCTGGCAGAAGAGTGACATTGGTTTGTTGTGCTGTGCAGGTATGCAAAGGCAGTGAACAAGGAGGCAAACAGGATCCTTTCCGTAGTGGGGAACATGGGGAGTCTAAGCTTGCTGCTTTTTTGCTGCTGTGTCATATCTGACCTGTCTTTTTCACCAAATACAGTTTTTTTGGCTGGCTGATAGTATAATACCTTTATTCAAATTTCTTGTGTGGGTTACTTCCTCTCTCCTTGGTCATCAATGTTGCAGGTATCTACCTGTTAATGGACTGTAATCTCTAAGGTGTAGGGTTTTCAGTAGAGGGCCTGTGTCTGTAGAAGTTGCCTGCCCTGGTGGGCTCATCATAGCCTGGCATGTTGACCTCCCACAAAGTAATTTACAAAGCTTCTCTCTTAATTCAGCCAGTCACCTGATGTGGAGGTATTCTGAGTGTATCATATCTGATACTTTACTTTTGAGAGTGATTCCCTGGATCAACAAATAATTCCTATATTGTTTTGTATGACTTGTATTTGTGTATAAGTACAACCAGGGTTTTAATGAAAATTTAAAAAAAAAATAAAAATCTTTACCACCTTCCATATGTCTAGCAGGAAACCACTGCCCAGAAATTAATGCGGCCTCACTTTCTTAGAACCCAGCTCCTGTTTGCATTTGGTCCTGCAGCAGTGAAATCATAATTCTGTTTTGTTGTGTTTGATAATGTATGATTTTTCACATCAACAGATTTATGATGGCATAGACCCAGGATTATGACTTCAATGCAGGAGAACATGAAGGAGGAGCTGAAATATAGGGGAGAATAGAGCTGTTCTCAAACGTATTTTTATTGCATAATAAACAAAAAAAATTGCAGAGTTTTGCAATCTTTTGTTCTCTGTAATATCTCCTTTCTGTAGGTCTGTTTAGTATGAATGTTCTTTCTTAAGGAACACTTTTTAATTAAAAAGATAGCAGACAAAGGTTCTGAGCTCCTGAAAGGCAGATATTATTTTAATACATAGTGTCAAGAGCATTGGACCTTTCCTGATTTGTGGTCACAGATCCACTGTGCTGTAATGGATATGACACTATAGATATGCTCATTTAAGGTCAGGCAACCTTGTCCACTTTATTTATGATTATTATTAACAGAAATGCTATCTGTCAGACACGATCAACATGAATCAGCTGAAGGCCCCTGTAAGAGAAGCTATATAGAGTCTTTAAGAGAATCACCAGCAGATCTCACAATTACTTTTGAAGTTCTGACACATTTTTTTATTGAGATTAAGATCTTGTCTTTCAATGCTCTTAAGTGTGTTATTTGTATGTGTAGGTGCTTCTGCCCTGGATGTCATACATGAAGAATCAGACCCACATTGACAGCTTTTGAAAGATAAAGTTAGTACATATCCTTCAGTGTTAGTTTAAATTTTGGGTTCTGCCTGGGTACCTGTACAGTTCACAGACAGCCCAGTATTGCATGTACAAAATTAAAATAAAACAAAATCAAAAACAAAAACAAACAAACAAAAAAAAATTTCCTCTTACATTCTGGTACCTATTGAAAAGCCATGTGTTTAAGTCGTGAAGCACATAAGCCTTTCCCCTGAAGTTACCCTATCCATTTAATAAACATTCAATTTTTTCTAGCATTTAACATTGGTCCTATAATATCATATCAGCATATATTGCCCCAAAGAGACTGCTTGTGGCAGAAACAAAGCTATTTAGCCCTGACCTATGGTTGTACAGCTTTGTACAGCTGCTCTTTAATCCACCTTGTGGTGTAAGTATTATTCCAGAACCTACTTTACAGGCAGAGAAATGAAGGCAGAGAACTTTACTGGCTTGCCCAGTGCCTACAGTTGAGAGCCAGATCCAGGGTTAAATTACAAGTACCCTTGACTCCTAACCTCAACCCCAATTGACTTGGCTGCATATCCTCCCCTGCCCTTGCTGAGCAGTGGAGAAGAGGGTTTCACTTCTTTTTGAGTCAGGCCCTTCCTCCCTCTCTGCCCACAAGCATTTGTGCAACTGCATTTTCTCTGATTTCTTTGTTCACTCCTTTAGCCTTTTCCCTGTAAGCAACAGTTGGCATCTCAGCCGTATTTCTGGCTCTGGCTCTAGTCTCCTCTCTCTTGGATAGGCAGTGCTGTTTTGAGCAGGTCACTGAAGTGTTAGGGCATAGTTTGTACAGTCATCACTAGCACAGTTTTATCTTATTTTTTAATTCTTCAGCAATTTCAAGCACAATGGCACATTGCTGTTCCATGGAAAGGCAATGATAAGGGTGCTTTTATAATACGTACTCCTGTATGTGGTAAGGAAATGCATTCTGGCTAAACTCCATTTTACCCAAGCCATATTTGTATCCTGAGAACCCAACAGGTATGAGAGGGAGGCAGTCATGATGGCAGATTAGGACTTGCAAGATCTGTATTATATTCTCTGGTGTGCTGCTGGTTCTCTGTATCACCTTGGGCAACTTGTGTAATTTCTATGTTCTCTGGTTACCAGCTGATAAAACTAGATAATGGTGTTGTGAAAAAAAAGTAGGAGCAGGGTCCTTAGATCAGAAGTGATACCCACCTGCTTTTTCCTCTTCTGCTTTGTTTTTTAGCATCTTTCTCCTAGTTTAGTTTGGATGTATTTAGGCATTACTTTAAAATAGTTCTCAACGCAAAGCATAATTAGATGATTTCAAGAGATGCAGCTTTGATGCTGTCTCCAGGTTCTGCCTCCTGTAAGCCAACAGCAAATCGAGAGCCCAGGCTCTAATGAGGTTTACCCAGTAAAGCCAAGTCCTGTTTGCATTATCACGTAATGTGCACTTACGCCTCATTACTGCCTTTTACCACGCTCTCCTACAGACCTTATTTATTGGTTCCT